CACAAAAAAAAACCCATGCAGGACAGAAGGGCTTGACACGAAATATTTGACATGATGAAGACCCAGGATCTACAACCAAGAATACTTTATCCAGCAAAGCTACCATTTACAGTCAAAGGACAGATAAAGAGCTTCCCAGACAAAAATAAGCTTAAAGAATTTAACACCACTAAGCCAGTATCATAGGAAATATTAGAGGGACATTTTTAAGAAGAAAAAACATGTATCAAAAACAGGATAAAGAATGGTAACAACTACCTTCCTATCAATAAGTACTTTAAATGGAAAAGAATTAAGTGCTCCAACCAAAAGATAGAGTGGCTGAAAGGATAAGAAAACAAGACCTTTACATATGAAAAGGAAGGGGATGGAAAAAGATATTGCTGTGATGAACCTAGAAGGTATTTAAGTAAGACAGAGAAAGATAAACACTATATGATTTCACTCATATGTGGAATTTAAGGAATAAAAAGAACAATCTAATTAAAAGAAGATTAATGAATATCTTTTAATAAGATTGATTTCAGTGCATACTTGCCAAAAAACTGGGAAGCTCATTTAGAGCCCAGTGTGACATTTTTAGGTAGGTGGACTTAGCCCCACTCGTGAGCTGTCAGCCAGGGACACAGGAAAGGTGCTGCACTAGACTTACTCTTGGCTTCAGGTTCACACTTTCTACTTTTCCAGCTCATCTCTTTTGGAAGAATTACCTGTCTCCTTTTTTCATAGAAGACAATGAAGGAAAAGGGTTAAATAAATTTCAAAACACTATTACAGTAAGAGTTTCTGGTTATAATGGTTGTGAGACGGAAGAGACTATCAGAGAAAGTGGATTTTTTTTCAAATTGGCAGACAGGACATTGTAGGAGAAATAGTGAGATAATACATCTAAACGTCTTAGCATGCCTTAGCTCACAAGAACTGTTAGCTCTTACTATGTTATGACCATTTTGAGGTTGCTATATAGGTATTTTCTTTTCTTTATAACATATTAAGCACATCAGTATTGCCTGTGTACATGAAAAGATTTTTTTTCTTATTTCTGTAGCTAATTCCACAGATTCTCCCCCACAGCACTGATCCAAGTTAACTAAAGATATTATGATACCCACACAGAAATGCTCAGTGGACATTCGAGGATATTTAGATCCAAATCATCATTTAACATCCTTAAGTTATGTACTATTTTAAACTTTAGTGTCACTGGTAACTAAAAATGTGCACATAACAGCAACCACAACACTAATATGAGGTAAAAATCATTCATCTGATCACAATATATATTTTTTCCTGGCTCAAATAAAAATTATAATGAGAATGCTAAAATTACATGCAATTGTTTTTTAACTTAGCCACATATGTGCCATCTCTAATAGCCAATTGGTTTTTTTAAAAAAATTATTATATTATACTTAAGGTATACAAAAAAGTACAAAAATATGACAAAATACTTATGATCCTCCAGATTACAAAACAGAACATTACTAATACTACTGAGGCCCCCTGTGTACTCTTCTTCCTCAGTTCGATCTTTCTTCCCCCAGAGATTAATCATTATTCTGAACACTGTATTTGTTGTATCCATGTATTCATTCCTTCATACTTTTTGCACAAATGTACATATTGCTAAATAATTCATATCATTATTTTACAACTTGCTTTGTGGATTTGGCTTTATATCTGAATTCATACATTTTGACACATGGTACATTCATGTAGTAGAAACAGTGCTCACCAAATATTCTACATGCTTCCCCATGTTTCTTAGCCTTTAGGTTGAAGTCACTGAAATGTGAGCAGAAGGGAAGTGTGTCATGTGTAGGGCAAGGCCGTTACAAGCACTATCTCTTTCTTCCTCTTCCTCAGGGAACTCATAAGCCACATGTCCCAGATGGGGCAATGGGCAGCTGTAGGAACATGGAGTGTCTTTTGGCTTGGGTCACTGAGTGAAGGGGAGCAGAGCTTCTTGCCAACTCATGTTGGACATATAAAATGAACAAGAAATAATCCTGTTGCACTAAATATAAACACAAATAAACAGATAACTGGCTTTCTGGGATTATTTGAAAGCAATGCTATTAGTAGCAAGGTAGATTCGAAGCCTTTTAAAAATACTTTTATCCTGACTCTAAATTGATATTTACTCTCACTTGCATGAAGAAGCAAATCTCATATGTTCTAGTTTTTATCTTTGACCTATTGCACTAACAACACTTTAAAAGAAGTGTCTACAAGTTCTTGTACTGTTTCCAGTAAGTTAGTTTTGTTTCCCCAAGTAGATTTTAAGCTCTTCCAGACTCACGTCTTCTTTTCTTTTGTATACCACACTACATCTTAGTCTACAAAAACATGTAATAATGACTGGTCTACTGTTTAACGGGGGAGGATAAAGACTAATATTAAATGCCTACCTTCTGTAAGGTACTTTGCTTGTGTTTCACATAAATTGTCTTGATCCTTATTATTTCCATCATAAAGATGAAGACATTAAGGCTGAGTAACTTTCCTTTGGATACAGAGCTAGGAAGACGACGAAAGGTGTGGGGACGGCAGTTCAAACTGTTGTGCTTGACTATAAAGCCTTTGCTTTTTAATTTTTTTCATGGAACTTAGTGACACCATGTCTAGTATAGGACAGGAGCTTTAGAACATAGAATGGCTAACAAAAATAGTTATTTATGGATTTTATAAACATTAAAACATTTCTTTGGAGAATTCTGAGGACTCAAGATTGTTAGGTCTTACCTTGATAACCTCTGGGGTCTGCTGAATCAAAACCACTGAAGTAGAATCTTTGGCTTTATCAACAACAGGACTTCTACAGACGGATAAACTGGCCTGGGAGGAATTCGTCAAGGTTTCCTGTAGAATTTGCATCATTTCCTTTTCTTGTGATAGGCTCCCTCTGCCTGATTTGCATTCAACTAGTTCTTGAGCAAAGTCTTCAATGCTTCCTAGAATTCGGAGTAAGAGGGCTCGATCCTCTTCCTCTATTTTGTGTCCATTGGTTTCAATAATTCTTGTTAGACAGGAAGGTTTAGGCTCCAGATCTACAGTTTGCTGACCAGGCAACTGACTATGGCTATTTGGAGAGTTAGAGCTTTTACCTTTGGCAAGTGGCTCCCTTAGAGAGGTCTCCATTTTCTGTGAAAAAGATTCCAAATCCATTAACAGTTTATCTATCTCTTCCTGACTGTTAGGATTCATAAAATCTCTGTGATCTCCCTCTTTGACTTTAGGAACTTTTGATTTAAGATCTTCCTTAGGTAGATTAATAACAGGTTTCTCAAATATCTTACCAATTTCATTTTGCACTGAAGCAGGACATTTTTTCGGATGAGTACCATGTTCTGATAATTCTGCTCTATCTTCATTTACCTTTAACAACTCCTGACTGGGTCCATTCGCTGTCCTTTGACCTTTATCTAATGCCTTCTTTCCATCTGAATCTTCTTCAATATAAAGGGTTTCCATTAGGTCACCAGAAGAAACATTTTCTAAAGGTTTCATGGTTAATGGCCGTGATTGAAGCTGGACATCTTTTAGAGTCCTGGGATCGTTAACCTCTAAGTTACATAAGGAATTTGTAGAGTTGTTTGGAAAGGATTTTACAGTGTCTGTTTTCCTAGAACTGTGCTTGTCATCTTGCAATTCTACAGTTTGAAACTGTCCATGGTCAGGGACTGACAGCTGTACAACATCTTCATATTTAGGAGGCTGTTCGGTGCCGAATATTGGAGAGAAGGGAGTCAGTTGTAAACTAGGCATATTGCTGAGCAGTTCTGTTAAATCTACGGCCTCATTATTCCCAGATTGCATGAATTCAAATGGTAGCTTTTTCAGATAGGATGCTAACCTGGTCATTACATTCATATAGACAGTTTCAGAACTAGAAACTGCATCATTACCATTTCCTTCATTGATGCTACTCCCTGACTTTTTCTTTATGCATTGTTTTATGATGTCTGTGCATTTTTTTAAATCCTCAGAGCATTTCAGCAAAATGTCCAAGCACATCTTTATGTCTGTTCCAGAAGAAAAATTATCTATTTTATGTTTTTCCAAAATCTGAGTAACCAGGTCTTCTTCAGAGAAGTTGTGAAGAAACATCGAAGTCAGGTTCATATCAAGTGAATTCCTATGGGACAAAGATTTTTCCTCAACTGAAGAACTCCGGAGTAAACCAAAGGATGAGGAGTTCCCATCATTGTTATAATGGCCACAGAGCAAGTCAAAATCAACTGACCTCCTATTAAATGAGTCAGACTTAACTTTCCTTCCCTTTTTGTAAGCTGCGTGGTTAGAATTTTTGAGTTTTTCAAGGGAAAATTCTTTTATTTTCCCACTGGCAAAACTGATTGCTTCTCCTGCAATGTCCTTTAAGTTACAGGTGTTCTGAAATGTAGCTCCTTTCTTGACTTTAGGTATGCCCGTGAGGGCCTGATGGGGATAGTCACTTTCAGCTGAGGAAAACCCATTTTCGTGGGGTAGAAACATAGAGTCCAGATCCGCATCTTTGAACTGAGACACAGGGATGTGTAAGAGGTCTGCGCAAACACTATGATGTACCACAATGCAGTCAACCCCGTGTGTGAAGGTGTGGCAGGTTCCAGTGCAATAATGTATAGCTTGCTCAAAACGCCGGTCTATCACCACGCTGCTGTAGTGGTTCACAGTACTAACCACAAGTCTGTAAGTTGCTGCCATAATATCAAATCCACTTAGTGGTGGGACTTGGAATTTTCTATAACTTTTTTCAAGTAAATTCTCCTATATGACACTTAGCCCAAAATACATTTGACAATGTTCAGTGGCTTCTTGCAAATATAACCACCTTTTCCACGAAGGAACACCATCTAAATTTGAGGTTTGGTAACTGTCAAGATACAGTAGCTGTTGCACATGTGTGCTTGTATTAGCAAGCCTAATAACTTAATAACTGTGCTTTTTAGTTTTATTTAGTAATATCATGATACTGTAAGAATTTTTTATAAAAGAATATCCTCTTTTAGTTCTTCAACAATTCTTTTATGCAGAAATTTGTTGTAAATTTACTGTCATAAATCTTAGTTGATAGTACAGAAGTATTGTGATAACTGAGTCCTCCAAAGGTTTAAATGATCCATTTTTCTGTGATGACAGAGAAACCTATGAAGAAAAAAGAAAATACTTAAAAAGAAATATGATTTCTTAATACTGAGAGAACCTTTTATTTCCTCTTCCACTGCATTCTCTATGTAGTTAATCGCCAAGCCTTATTCTTTGCCACACCACTGACTTTTGATCTTTGAATCATGCCTTTGTTTCATCACACCATATATGCCTTACTACCTGAAGTAGTATTACCTCAACTTTGCCTTGTTACAGCTGCCTTCCAGTTGGCTATTTCTTAACTCACCCTCCATGCCATTTTAAGCTTACATTTAGACAGCTTTTTCATCTCTCACGGTTTAAGAATTCACACTACTGGTCTCCATCATGCATCATGACAGGCCTATCTCTTTTGACTTATTTTCGAGACTTTCAACATCTGTTCCCGTCCACCTATAACCTTATTTTCTGCAAGTGCCTGGCACCAGCCTTTTGTTTCCATCAACCTAGTCTTCTCAAAGTACTTGTTTGAAAACAAAAATACTTGTTCTTGATTCTACAACTTCCTCTAGGAAATTATTCTCCCATCATCTTCTCTTTTCTTACTAAGAGAGAGAAAAAAACAACCTTCATTACTACTATCGATCCCATCCTCTCAGACCTTGCTATATGCAGATCTCTCTCTCTCTCGCCGTCAAGTGGATAAAATTTACTTAACTGTTCTCTTATTTTTTAAAAAAGAAAAAGATTTCTAAGTCATGTTGTAGTTCCTTCCAAAAAGGTTCAATTGATGTATTCACACAATAAATATTGAGTGCCTACTATATGCCAGGCACTTGCTAAGTGTTAAGGATACAGCAGTGAATAAAACAAAGCATGTCCTTATGGAGCTGATGATCTAGTTAGGAAAAGAAAAATAATACATAAGTAAATATATAATTTAGATGGTGATGTGTGCTATGGAGAAAAAGGAAGCAGGACAAGGATTCAGAAAGGGTAAGAGGGTCCTGTGTTATAAAGGGCTGTCAGAAAACCTCACTGACACATTAACAGAGACCTGAAAGAAGAGACAGAGGAGGCCGAGGAGGTATTGGGGGCTAAATCATCTCAGGCCGAGCAACCAGAAGTGCAAAGGCCCTGAGATGGGAGCATGCTTGATTTACTAAAAGAATGACAAGGAGGCTAAAGTGACTTGAGCAGAGAAAGCAAGGGGGCAGTGTAGGAGATGAGATCAGAAAGCAAAGGTGGAAGTCTAAATAATGCAGAGTCTGTAGACTACTATGATGAACTTGGCTTTACGCTGAGTGAGCTTGGAAACAAATGGTGGCTACTGAGCAGAGGAATGACATGATCAGACTTACATTTTAAATTGGTAATTTTGGTTGTTGTGCTCAGAGGAGACTGTAGAGGAGCAAGATAATAAGCAGGGAAAAAAGTTAGGAGCTATTACAATAAATCAGGCAAGAAGGCCAGGGGGCTTGGACCAGGAGAATAACAGTGAAGGTGTTTAGATGCTGTATGTATTTCAAACATAGAGCCAATATGATTTGCTGAAGGATAGAATATGAGATACTGCTGAATCAAGAATGATGCAGTAAGACAATGACAGGAATGAGATAATAACAGCAATGAAGATCAATAGCACCAATGCACCATCAACAGCACCAGTAAAATCTTTACCCATTTAATATTGAGGAACAGAACTTCATTGTTTTCATTTTTATTTCTTCAATCGTAGAAAACTGTTTATTTTGCTTATTCAATTTCGTCTTTGGTAAATTGTCTATTGCTCATTAAGACATTAATGACTTAGTGAATACAGATGTAACTAATGCAATTAATTCACAGAAAACTCTTTCTTTTGTTGAATTCTTACACTGGTTAGAGTATATTTCCTGACTTTTTGGATCCAATGATCACTCTGTTTTTATGCCATTCCTACACTACTGTAATCGCTGTTTTCTTATTAAGTTTTATTATCTGGCTTTGTTTCCCATGTCCCTAATTATGATTATCTTTTACACTTGGCATATTCTTTGATGGTCTTCCAGATGAATTTTTGAATTGTCAAGTTTTAAGAAAAATCCTATTGGAATCTGATTACAATGTAATAAACTTATGAATTATTTTGAAGGAACATAGACATCAGTATAATATATAGATTTTCCACCTAGGAAAATAAAATTATTAATTCCAGAAATATTCCTTTACTTCTCTTTGTGGTTTTCTTCAGGTAGTTCACCCTCGTACGTCTTGTCCTTCAGTGTGTTAACTTTGTTGCTATGTGAATGGATCTTGAACTATTGTCTCATCCTCCACTTCTCTGCATTCAAATCTCAGATGGTTCATAAAACTAGTTATCATGAAGGATGGATGAAAGTGAAGCAGAAAGAAGTTCTATTGTAAAGAAAGCACCCAGTAATTCTAAAGTTAAAATACAAAGAAGCCAAGGAGGAATAAGTGTTATGGGATAAAATACTAGAAATTGGCAATGGAAGATACTACCTTTTTAAAAGATGTCCATCCAGAAGACAGGGAAGAAATAGCAACGAACATAAAAACTATGAACATTTTCAGAAATCCAAGATTTTAAAAGTTTTTGGGTAAGAATAACAGGGAGGGAAAACATAAAAGGACACTGTAAGGAAAGTATATTAGAATAAGTATATGAGAGATATTAGGAGTATATCCTAAAATAAGTGATACAGATGATAAAACTGATCCAGGAGCAAAATACGTAAGTGTTGGAAAACTTAAACATCCAGATACCTGTTAAAATACATGTCTGATAAATTCCTAAATTGGCATAAAACTATTTTATTTCTCTAAAATTTGAGAAATTAAAGAGAAGTACTTCTTTAGGTTTGAATATAACCTAAACAGGTTGATAAGGTAACACAATGAAAAATATGAGAGTAATCATGTGATATTAGAATTTGAAAGTCAAGGAAGAGAGAACACCAGCCAAAGTCAGACATGTGCTTTTTGACCAGCGCTGTCCAATAAAACTTTTCTGTGTTGATGGAAATATTCTATGTCTGTGCTATCTGATATGGCCGCCATATGGGGCCATTAAGCACTTTAAATATGGCAAGTGTAACTGAAGAACTGAATTTAATTTTGAAATTATTTTAGATTCACAAATAAGTTGCAAAAATAATAGAGTTCCTGTGTACCCTTAACCCCAGTTTCCTCTATATTACCACAGTAAAATGATCAAAACTAGGAAACTGACATTGGTACTAGTAACTGAGCTATAGACCTTAACTGGATTTCACCAGTTTTAAGTACTTACTCCTTCCTTTTCCATCCTTCTTCCCTGCCTTTTATAGTAACAACTAC